TAAACTTTTGAACAGATTATTGATATGATGCCTTATGTGACCTATTACAGTTTAGTATCAGTTGACTTTGTGTACTAGAGAAGGAAGTTGTCAAAGAAGGAAGCCATTGAGAAAATAAATGCTTATGGTTTGAAAATATCCATGGAGATCATACTATTGTGCCCTGGCTAGCTTTGGGCTCCAGTTCTGTTCTGCATTCCATGCTGTTTATTTCGGATGATAAAAATAGCCCTTTCACTCCATGTGTCTATAAAAGGACCAGTTCTATGGCCAGGATTGTAGTGCTAGGGGGAGTGGCTACAATAACATTTATTTATGTTTGTTTTATGTGTATGAGTGTGGCCTGTGTGTATACAAGAGCATATGTGCGTGCAGTGCCCACAGAGGCCAGGAGAGGACATGGGATCCCTCGGAGCTAGAGTTGCAAACTCTGTAAGCTGCCATGTGGGGGCTGGGAATCAAACCCAGGTCCTCCGAAAGAGCAGCCAGTGCTCTTAACCACTGAGCCATCTCTCCAGCCCTTAGAGAATTTGTAATGATTGAGATTTACTTATTTTTAAAATGAGCTAATCTTATTAAAAATATATTTGAATTTAATTAGTCTTTTTAGCAGGTGTTCTGATATAGGTAAAGATGATTATTTCTCTCCTCAATGTTGTCATGTAAACTCACTCTGCATCTAGTTTAGTGATCCAGAAACACATTACTTGCTACTTCTTCCTTAAAATCTTACACTTACTCACACACCTTAGCTTAACTCATGGAAGCACACAAAGCATTGTGGGTGGACTGGAGACTTTTCATATGGAGTTCCCACATTTTGAACGATTCTCTTATTACAAGCCAATTTTATGTGACTCCACTTCATTTAGAAGCATTTGGAAGTGGTGGCAGACGTATCTAACTTTTCAGCTGTTAGTAAAATCTGAACTTCCGAATTTTAAATCCAAGAACCTTCTGGAGAGGAGTGTTTCTCCAGCATGATAGAGTCAATCACATTCAAATGTCACTTGGAGCCAGCCTCTCTTGGAGAAAAAGGAAGGAAGGCAAACCACTTCTGTATCTCAAGGGACAGCAATTTAGGCAAGGGGGTTTGAAACCTTTTTCCTTATTTAAAAACAAAAGTAAGAAATCTAACCTGAGGACTGTTTAGAACACAATATTATATTCTTGGAGAACATGTCCAAATGGGGCTTTTGACTCTATTTAAGCATTTAGCAATTTATGAAATAACTTTGTCTTCTGTTGCTTTAATAACTGATATTTGATTTGAACTTTATTTGACTACACACTTGGTGAATGAGATTTGTGTTTCCTTATTGTGTTAAGTAGTAAGGTATGCTACGATAGCAGTGCCTATGCTCTCGTTTGTTTGTTTTGTTTCATGTCACTCCACAGACCTTTGTGGATACTGCATTTGGGTGATGTCAGTCAGTCATAAACACTGAGCAGATACCAAGCAAACTACAGAAATAATAGTAAATCCGGAAAGCACATAATAGTAAATCACCAGTGCTACTCTTGCTCAAGGTCACTAATAGTTCTGTTACCAGAATGAATAAATGGTTCTTTGATTCTTTGCTTCACTCACGCTTGACTCCTACCTGCTTTTTAGAAGTATCTGATGAAACGGTTCTTTCAGGTCTATAACATTCTGCATAGCCAGGTCTCTAGGTGGGGGATAGCCATCCTGGGAATGGGACACAAAATTTCTTATGTTTAGGAAGCAAGTGGCTTCTCCAAATTCTTTGAGTTTGAACACACAGTGAAGAGGGTCAATACACTATTGTTAGGGGAACAGTAAAGATGATGTCATCTGTTGTTTGCCAGTGATGCAGCTGTATATAGTGTCACTTTTTGGCAGAAATACAGAAATTGGGTCAGCTAGACTATGGGAGGATTCTCCTGTGTGTCCTTTTAAAGATTTATTCTTATTTTATGTGTACGAGTGTTTTCCTTACATGTATGTCTGTGTATCACATGTATGCAGTATCCGCAGGGACCAAAAGGTTGCATTAGACCCTTCTGCATCTAGAATTAGAGACAGTTGGGGGAAGCTCTGAAGATTTTGGGAACCAAATCTGAGTCCTGTGAAGAACAGTAAGCAGCTTAACCACCAAGCCATCCCCCTAGCCCAGTGCTGTGTTTAAAGGCCTGTTCTATACACGTTTTAACATCAATTATGGATTTTACTTATTTTTGTGGTCCTTATTCACCCACATTTTCCTGCAAATGTTAACTCCTGGGATTGGATTTTCTTTCTGCAGATCTTTTGATACACGATGCATGCCAATTCCTTCCCAATTCTCTAAGCCAGGCATCATGTCTTTCTCTCTATGTATGTGTGATGCTGCCTGTGGCCAAGCTCTAATTTTTCCTGTCCTGAGCCTTCAAAATGTCTCCCTTACATTGTTTCCCCTGCTTCCTTTCCACAGCCGATGGAATCTCTGGGAAGTCCTTCAGTGGTTTTGCATTGCCATTGAAGTAATATCTTCCCTGAACTTCAAGGATGATTTTCAGTGTGGTACTTCTTAATGCAAGGAAATGAACTGGAGCTAGATGAGTCCCACAAAATTCAAATATTAGAAAACAGCCCAAGAATAATTATATATATGTATATATATGATATTATTTATGTAGTTAAATTATACAAATTGTTCTAAGTACTGCTTAGAAAATGATGCATAAGAAAAAAAAATGTATTAAGAACACCATGGGAATGGTAAACACCGAGTCTGATAACTCCTGAGAGGAAGAAAAACAGAAGCCAACAGCTGAGTGAGCACCTGAGCTCCTCCGCACACCTGAGCTTCTCCACACCTGAGCTCCTCCACTCTTGAGCTCCTCCGCACACATGAGCTTCTCTATACACCTGAGTCCTGCAGACACCTGAGCTCCTGCACACACCAAAGATGTGATAATTAACATTATCATGAGCTAACACACGTTTGTCATGGTCCAGCCTTTTGAAGTAATCAGTAGAAATCAAAGTCCCAGAATACATTAACTTGATCAAAAAGGGTCACACATTGTATGCAGCTTTGTGCAGGAGAGAAACCTTTGTGGTCCACTCACCTCCTCATTGATCCCTTCATCACAATACACCAGGGACCAAGTCTCTCCAAACTGCAGCATCTTAATACCAGTGCCTACTGTGCGCTACCAGAGTCTGCTTCTGGGAGTGAAGTGCTTAGTGTGGCTGATGGAAACCTCCTCCTTTGGGGAAACTCACCTTCTAGGGGAGATACAATTAAAGATCCCCACCGTAGGCCAGAGGGGAGTGGATAACAGTAGCTTGCCTGCTTGGTGCTGTAGGTGTGTTTTTACTCCAATTCCTTGCCTAAATTAAAGTGATTTAATCAGAACTGGGGAGGGGGGTGCAGCCAAGTCTTTGATATTTGTCAGGCACTTCCACAAAATCATGAACACTTCAAATTCCTGTGTGGCTACTGAAACACTTCTTACTTTGCACTTTAGACTTTGTTTCATAAGTTCAGAAGTTGACAGATCTGCTTCAGGAGCCTGATGTACTTTTGAGAGCAGTTTTCAAAGTCTCTTACTGACTTCTAATGGGATAGTGAGGTGCTGCTGTGAAGGGACCTTTGTTTACTCCAGTAACAAGGTATTGGTCACGAAATCCCAAACTGTCTCCTTCCTGAGTATCAGAGAGCCTCTAAACAGAACTGAGCTGACCTTCGGGCCGCTCCTTTCTTCCTTCTGAGTGGTGACCTAGTCCCTTTCTGCTGGAGTTGGGAACTGGGAGATCAGTTTAGACATGTTTATTGTGAGTTCCCTGTTTGGATTGAAGCATTGCGAATTTCCAGAATACAGCCCTTCTCACTGAGGACCAAATTAGCCTTGCAAGCTCCTTATATGTCTGTGTAGTATTAGTGTGATGTCTAAAAATAGAGCTAGATGATGAGATACCCACTTAGGCAGAACTGAATCAAAACTCTTGCCTTTCAATTTTAAACCATAGTTTCTATATCTAGAACCTGTGGGAAAATGAACTGAAGTTCAAAGCTTGCTAATAGAGTCACTCGCTTTAAATACTTAACGCATTGACTACCTAATTAGGTCTCTACTAAATAATAACACTTTGCTAGTGTTTATAGTGACTCATACTGGAGACTTATTTGCATCAAAATGATACCAGAGAATAAATAAGGCTGCAAATGTCCTTTAATGATATTTTATCATTAATAATGAATGTTAGGGATAATGGCTGAATGAGTCAACTTTAATATAGCAGGATTTTAGAAAACCCCAATAATCTGATGAAAGTTCCCATGTCATCCCTGGGTTTAACATGGCAGTTTTGGTGTCATTTCCTATTTATGATTAGAGATGTTTTGCAAGAACTCAAGGTAGAGAGAAGTCAGAGAGTTGAGAGCAACTCTACAAGAATGAATGAATTACTGCCTGCAGTAATTCGTTCTGTGAGCAGCCCCTGCCCTCATTCTGTTCCACAGCTTCATGAAAAGCATCATCCCAGGAACTGCTGAAGTATCGCGCTGAAGACTGTCTGGGTTCCTGGCTCAGGGACTTTGGCTTTGATGCCCTTCATTTCAGTCTCTGTTTTACCTCTTACTTCCTTTTTAAGGGGAGAAGATTATTTGACCTTTCTGAGCTCCGTTAACTTTTCTGTAACACAGGAATAAAAAGCCCCCTCTCAGGCTTGGTTACAGGCTAACCTTTCCACTGTAAATCTCAAGATTCTCACTGTTCAATGGACAGCTATGAATTTTGCTATTGTTTTAATTTGGTGTGCAATTTATATAGTTAAGGGTCTATGATTTAAAACAAAGTGAAGCTCTCTATTTAGACTGTGCTTTCAGACTAGAAAGCCACAATTTGGCATTCTGTATATGAATTAATAGTTGATTAACATATCCTGTTTTGATTAACATACTGTTTGTTCTTATGTGGTTTCTCACAAGAATGATATTAGCATACTATGAACTTGTGTCTCAAATAACTTTGTTTTCAAACCCTTCTAGGTAGCTTCCTAGCCCAAAACTTGTGTTGTGAAATCTGAGATTTTGACCCAGATACTATGATAGAAACTTCCTGTGATTTGGGGCCATATCCTACTTAGATGAACGCGGGACTTCCAGATTTTCTGAGAGCTTGGTACTGTACGTGCGTTTCTTGCTCCTTTGGAGTGGGTGACCATGCCTTCTCTGCCTCAAGAAGGGGGTAAGTGGATTGTCCTAACCACACTGCAGGCTATGCGTGTGTTTAGAATATATGATATTCAAGCTTTGGAAGGGCCACTGTTTGTAGCTTTTCCTTGCTAGGGCAGCATGAATGTTTCTGGTCAAATTGTTTTTATTTTAGTGACAACTGTTTATATTTCTTTTGTAACAGTAATTCAGGGATCCTCTCCCCTGGATTTGAATACAGAGTTACCTTATCAATGCACAATGAAAAGGAAAGTCAGAAAAAAGAAAAAGAAGGGAGTCATTACAGCGAATGTTTCTGGGACAAAGTTTGAAATTGGTGAGTTTCTTCAGAGTCCTGGGCTTTTTTTTTTTTGTCATGGGTGTAGGAAAAGCTGCCTTGGCATCCAAAGCAATGTAGATCTTGGAGAGATGATTATCTTTTATGTAATGGGTTTCTAAATTGCTTCTGTAAAACCCTGACAGGTTAGAAGAATTCTTTTCCTATGCGGTGGAGGACGATATGCTTTAAAAGGTGATAATTGATTTCTAAATTTTGAGTTCAAACAAAGAAATGCATTCAGTTAGCTTAGCTAAGAAAATGTGCAGGTCTATACCCAACATTGGATTTTTCTGTAATGTGCAACCTTATCAGCTATTTGAGCTTTGAAATTCATCATAAAAAATAGACTCACACCTGTCTGATCTTCTGAAGATTGGTGAATATAGAGTGGGTCTTTTCAACTATTCTTATGTAATCTGAAAGCATCTGGCCTCGTGGGAATGTGAGTACATGAAGATCCAAGACTCAGGTAGCAGCTGAGCTGCTCCCATCACCTGCCCCCATCACAGCCAGTTCATCTGGCTCTCACCAGTGATGTCTTAAGCTCAGAAGCTGTGTCTTTGTTTCTCATGAGTAGTTTAGTCATTCTGCCCCCTGCTTCTGTTTTCTGCTATTAGCCTGTTAGAGGAATCTCACAGGAGCCAATGCTACTGTTCCCACTCTCTGTATGTGTCCAAATGGCACTGTAGCAACAAAGCCCCAAGGGAGGCCATCCCATGATGGCATGATCTGTGACACTGGAGAATGTGTCTTTCCCAAGTCCTGTGTGTGCACTTAATGATGCAAGATACCAGTATTACTCCAAGATTCCCTCTGCTGCTCTCAGAGAGCAGTTCTCCGACCTCACTTAGGTCCCAGGACTTCTTCAGGTGTCCCCGTATTCCAGGCATCACTGCAAATAAATCCAGTCCCCGCCCCCAATAGTCAAGAGCCTGTAGGGTTTGAGGCCAACCATTCCTGGTTGCACCTGAACTAAGTCATCCAGACAGTTCATGTCACTCCATATTTTCATATCGCGTGGGGCCCGATATGAAGAAAGCATTACAAGCTAGCACTGAAGCATCCCATGTGTATGCACACTCTGAGAATTCATGGGAGCTCAAAGATTATCCCAACTGCATGACTCATCTTAAATTCAAGATTTGTTGAAAGAAAAATGCCAATATGTTAACCATAGCATTTAGGTTAAGGAGGAGCAATATGCTTTGTAGTCAGAAGGAAACCTCAGAGTGTATTAATTGGGGCTGGCACAGCGGCGGGACAAGACCAGGCGGCGGGCGGAAAAACCTTACTCCCTACACAGAGTAAAATTTTTTCAGTGGGATCTCAGGGTTGGGAGCAGTAGGGAGCCAATCTTTCCATCCCTCCTGTATATTTGGCTTCCCTGTTTCATACCCTGAGTAAACAGAGCTGACTTGGTTTTAAGTGGTAAAAGTTACTGGAACTTGAAAGGTAAAAGGCACAAGAGATCCCATGGTCAAGGGTGTTTTTACCTTTCCGGTTTTACACCTAGTTCCAGGTCATGGAAAAGCCACGAGAGTGAATGTCCCTGTGTAGAGTTCCCTCAGATATCTGTGAGTTTTCACAGTGCCATCCAAAGTCACTTTCTACACCCTTGGGGAGAGCCGTGTCTCTGGTAGGCCTGAGAGGACTATAGCTAAGGATTTTTGGAGCAATCTAATTCAGTTCCCAGCTACTGTGGAGAATAATTTGGCCCTAGATAAAACTGCTGCCACAATAATGAGCTGATGCTGTAAGTAGTGGGGTGCCGTGGATATAGGCACAGACTTCCACAATGAGTGTCTTTAAAAGGTTTATCCCTCATTTATTTATTGTGACCATTTCCTTTCAGTTCGTTTAGTAATAGATGAAATGGGATTTATAAAAACTCCAGATGAAGATGAAACTAGTAACCTTATATGGTGTGACGCTGCCGTTCAGCAGGACAAGATCACGGAACTGCAGAACTACCAGGTGGGAATTAGTCTCCAGCAGTTACTGTCCAATGGGGGGGGGGTCATCACACCAAGTCCATCATGATTTTCTTTATGTAGCTTCTTAATCTGTTGACATACTGGATTTCAGATCTGAGTTACCTGGACAGTCTGTCTTGTTGCTAGCTGGCTGTGTTACCTCTTCCCACCAAGGCTGCATCATATCCACACTTAACCTTTAGCTTATTTCTTTAAATCAGTATCTAAGAAAGAATTCTGTCTGAGATGATGCTTTGAGTTCTGTCCTAAGATGAGTGACAAGGAATGGGGTTGTGTCTGGATGGACAAACACCTTAAGTATCACCTACATGCCTTCTGGCTTTGATCTCTATAGTGCAATACAAAAGTGTTTAGAAGAAATGGCAAGCTTCCTGGTCTCACGAGTTTTCCTTTCCTCCCCCTCGTTTCTCCTACTTCGCTATCTGTTCGCTGCAAATAGGAAAGCCTATAAGGAATCTCGGACAATTGACATTTGCTATTTACACCTCCCCCTCCCTCCCTCCCTTCCTCTCTCCCTTCTTCACCTTTCTCCCCATTCCCTCCTCCTCCCTAATCCCCTTTCCTTTCTCTCCTCCCTATTCCTTAGTGCTCCTCCCATCCCTCCCTCCATAATTCCATCTTTCCTCTCTTCCTTGTACCCTCCTCATCACAATCCCCTACCTCTCCCTTCCCCTTCTTCCTCAACCTCCACACCATCTTCTCCTCTTACCCCCTCCTCCACACCACTTTAGATGCAGAGAATGCATGGTAGAACAGATAGAGTGAATATTTTAAGTCCCATATTATCAGCGTCCATATTTATGTCTGGTATTCCAAAAGCAGTTTGGATATTGAATTGGCATGCATTCATCATAGAATATTAAACTTTTATTATCTTTAATTTTATTATTCATTAATTTTAACAGTTAATTGCTAGCTATTTAATTTGAAATATTTTATATTAATAATTTCTAATCTATTAGAACATAAACCTCAAAGGATACACTTAATTGTGCTATAGTTTAAAAGCGCATATTTATTGATTTTAATAGATGTTAATATTTACCTTTTTGTTTTTCAGAGAATCAACCATTTTCCAGGAATGGGGGAGATCTGTAGGAAGGATTTCTTAGCAAGAAACATGACCAAGTAATCTTCATTTTCTTGTATAGAGAATACATGAGCAAAATTTATACTGCGGCTGGTGGTATTGTCTCGTGTAAGGTTGTGTTCAGATGAATGCTAGTCAGATGCGGACGGGTCACTGAGAGTTAGAGTAGCCCTAATGAAGTTGTTGTTAGTTGGGAGGACTGGGCAGTCTATGTGGCCTCTGGTAGTAGATCAGTATTTATCCCTAGTATATGAACGGACTTTGGAAGCCCATTCCACATAGATAGATACTTTCTCAGCCTAGACACATTGGGGAGGGCCCAGGCCCTGCCCCAGATGATGTGACAGACTTTGAAGATTCCCCTGCATTGAAGGCCTCACCCACCCTGGGGAGCAGAAAGGGGAAGAGATTGGGGTTGGTGGGGGGAACAGGGGAGGAGGGAAGGAGGAGGGAACTGGGATTGGTATGTAAAACAAGCTTTTTTTCTAATTTAAATAAAAAATAATTTCAGGTCATTGTTAAAGCAATATAATAAACACATGTGAAAGTGTTGAAATAAAAACTATAGCATTAGCACTAATTTTATTTAAAAGTTGTGCTATCAAACCGATCAATATTATTTGTTAATTCAGATTTTCTAGTTGTGAGATTAACATACTTTAAGCCACTGCATCTAGAAATTATATTATTTCCATTCTCATAGTGGTCATGTCATATCTGTGCACAGGCTCACCAAAGAGAGCTGGAGGCTGCTGGGGGAAGAGAGGAGGAGGGAGGGACAGATGTGTGATGTGTACATATTCATGACCTGGAGCTGGGCTAGTGGACCCACCTGCCTCCACATCCCCATAGTGCTGGGGTTCTTAGTGCACATGTGGCTGCACCTCATTACTGACCCTCGTGTTTGCTCACTGAGCCCTCTTGTGTTCTTTTCTGCTGACCTATCACCCAGGCTCAGCATCGCTTCAAAAAGCAACCCTTGGGAAAGTCCTTGGCATGTGTTGACTCTGACTGTCCAGTCGCTTTCCCAGTGGTTGATGTCCTCCAAGTCTTCTCAGATTTTAGCCTCTGCCTTTGTGCATTCTGTCCACTGGGATTCCATTTTAATTTTGACTGACCTTATTTGCAGACTGTACTCATCTATAAAAGACTACTCCATATTTAGAAAAGGAAAAAAAGATTCTCTTTTAAAAATATTATCTTCAGGGCTTGAGAGATGCCTCAGGTCTTAGGATTGGTCACTGACTGCTCTTCCAGAGGGACCTTCACTTGAGTCCCAGCACCCACGTGGCAGCCCATAGCTGTCTGTAACTGCAGTTCTGGGGGATCTAATGACCTTTTCAAACCCTAGGCACACACAAGGTACACAGACAACACACACACACACACACACACACACACACACACACACACACAGAGAGAGAGAGAGAGAGAGAGAGAGGAGAGAAAATAAAGTTTAAAGAAAGAGCATTACCTTATTACCTTTACTTTTTAAAATAAATTATTCTTTGTTTCCATGTTTATTAAGAATTGATTAAGTACTTAACATTTTGGATCAATAAAAAAGTCAGCGTTGTTCTCCATGGTTCATGGCGCAAACTTATAATCCTAGCTGCTTGGGAAAGTGAGACAAGAGAACTGTGAGTTCAAGGCCTGCCTGGGGCAACTACGAAGAAGACAGTGGGTACAGCTCACTAGTGGAACACTTCCCAAGCACCATCTCCAGTACCTCCACACCCCCTCAAAACAAACATATTACATTCATCATCACCATCAAATTGTGGATGACTGTAGGCATAAACTCTAGCAAATGCAATGCTATCAGAGCACGTCTTCAGCTGTGTGATCACAAGAATTGATGGTTCGTTCAAATCAAACTTCTGTGGATTCAGAGACTTTCAGGTGGTTTGCTCAGAAAAGTAGCTAAACTCTATGCCTTGTCATAGAAAGAAGTCAGGGATTTCTGTCTATGGATGACTCAGGATGGGAACACCAAGAATAAATGCCAGTATAAATGGTGTGCTTCCTCAACTCTCCCCGGCAGAGAGAGAGAGACAGAGAGAAAGAGAGACAGAGAGACAGAGAGGCAGAGAGAGAGGCTAACACTTGTTAGCCTGCCCTTTATGCCACCAGTCTATTATCACAGCATCTTGTACACAAAGCCTATCTGTAAATTCACTGGAAGCAGAGGCCATGCTAATTCTCCTTGCTTTGCCTGTGCCTAGTACACAACCAAATAAATATCCCTTGCATTAAAATACAAGTCAGTGTTGATAATCTCGTTTGATAGTTTGTTGATAATCTCAAATTTGGGCTATTGTCAAGTACATAGACATCTTCTGAATAGAGCGATTCATAAAAGAATAAATGAAAGAACAAAGAAATTTAAGTCTTCCTAGTTACAAAAATAAAATTTTGTAAGTCTGAATAGAATTTACATTTCTTCTTGCTCTGATTTACAGAATGATCAAGTCTCGGCCTCTGGATTACACTTTTGTTCCTCGGACATGGATTTTCCCTTCTGAATATACTCAATTCCAAAACTATGTGAAAGAATTGAAGAAAAAAAGGAAGCAGAAAACTTTTATAATAAAGCCAGCTAATGGTGCAATGGGCCATGGGTAGGTTATTTTTTTTTCTGGAAAATATAAACATTGAAAGCTGAGAGAAAAGATGTGCACACAATTACTCATGGTTGAATATCATACCGGAAAAACATTAAGTTTCTATCATGCGTTATGACTGAATGTTCTGACAGACTTCATTAATCTAATTAAAAATACAAGAGTTGTGAGATGTTACAGAAATCATAACACTTTATTTTATTTCTTCATAAACACAATAGATGTTTATAATAATTTCAACAATCTTATATAATACGATACATTGCTACAGAAGAGCTGAAGTAGAGAGAGTTACCTTGTCATAATGAGAATACTTGCAGCAAAATGTCTATATTCCCTGCTTTATGAATGTTTTCCTCTCTCAGAAATGTGATTGGATTGAGGTTGCACAGGACACATTTTGAGCTAACATGCCGAAGAACTAGACAGTTTATCCAGGAATAAATAGAATGCACAACATGGTATTTTTATCATCTTTGCTTATGTTTCGTTTTCTGTGTGCACTGGGTTTTCTTTTTTCTAATAGAAAGTTGGCCTAGGCTGTATTTAGTAAAATGCATGGGAGTAATTTGAACTTTTTTTTTAAAAAAATTAAATGCTATACTGCAAAAGAGCCTTGGAAATGTTAGCTTCCCATTTAAACATTAAAAAATATAATTTTTAAGCATGATGCACTGATTCTATCATATATCTATGTTCAACCATGCTTGTTCAGGTACAAATTAGTGAGTGGAGCATTCGTGTCCTTTGATTACTGCCATGTTGGCTTCTTGTTATCTGTCAGCGAAAAGGGAACTAGAGGAGAGATGATGATTGGTATACGTTCCTCAACACTTGCGATAGAAATAATAAATGTGTTTATTAATACTAGCACAATATATTTGATAGCAATGCAGAAAAAAAAAAGCAATGGGAAATCATTACAGAAAGGAGCCCTCTATAGTGTGCAGTTGTGTCCTGTGATGCAATAGTGAATGGGTAGAGGGCTTGTTACCTGTTGTGTATGTTCACTTTCTCCCTAGTGTACTGTTATTGAAAACTGGCTACTGAAGACTGAAACTACCAAAGCTGAGCCATTTCTCCCTCCATTATCATGACCTTTTGCTTGATAAATTTAATGGCTCATCCGAGTTATAATTTTTCATTTTTATGTTCTTGGGATACTGGCTTAACATATAGCATCACATCTTGTCTGCCATGGCAATTTTTGTTTAGCTGGATGTAAGCGTAGCCACTTCAGAATACTGCTTGCTTTCATTTTTCCATCATATTAACATTCAGCCTGTTTTATCTTTAATTCTAAAGGAGGTCCTTTTTCCAGATGACATCGCAGTTAGACCAATTTTTTAAAGCCCATTTCTCAAGTTCTGCTTTTCAAGTCAATCTACTAAAGTTTAATTTAGTTGCTAAAAGAGATTGTTTTTCCTTTTTCATCTTGCTGTTTGCTTTACGTATCTATATCATGCTTGCCATATTTCACGTAGTTTAAATTTTTCTTCATTATTTTGCTTTCTTCTGTGTAAATAGTAACTTTCTTTCATATGCTTGAAAATATTTAGTCATTCCTTCTGTTAGGGATATTTTGTGTTAGGCAAATCAAAGCAAGCTTTCCGCTAGAGAGCCCAAGACAAATCAAAGTAAACCCTCACAAGCAGGTGCACTTGACTCACCCTAGAACTAGCCTCTGGGCTGGGAACTGGGTTTCTGCTAAAACCACTGCTGAACTGGGATTGAATGATTTAATGGACTTAGCCAAAATGCCAAAACCATTAACCAGAATTTAGCTGCTATTTTCTACTCTTCCTCCCTCTGTGGTAAAATGTTCTCTGGGTGTTTCAAGCTTTTGTGTACCATCTGGGCCTCCACAGAACTGACTCTGATACCACCCCCCCCCATTGCTCTTGTGCAGGGACAGGGTTTTGGAATTTCTTCAGCACTGGTATCTTCCTGAATGCATAGATGACATCTTTTCTCAGCATCTCAACCACCATACCAAATTATTTTTGTTTTCTTTAAACTTAGGATTTCATTGATAAGAAATGGGGATAAAATTCCATCTCAGGATCATTTGATAGTTCAAGAATACATTGAAAAGCCTTTCCTAATGGAAGGCTACAAGTTTGATTTACGGATTTATATTTTGGTGACATCCTGTGATCCGTTAAAGATATTTCTCTACCATGATGGGCTTGTGCGAATGGGGACAGAGAAGTACATCCCGCCGAACGAGTCCAACTTGGTAAGTCACAATAGAGAATGTAGTTATCACTCATTTGTTCAGTGTCTGCCTTTAAGTCATATGATATGTAAGGACTGTATGAATCCAATTCCTTCTTCCAGGAGCCTATGGCTGGAACAATCACTAGCATAAATAAGACCACTTCTCATTTACAGATAGCTTTATGGAAACCAGACAGAGTATCTGATTAGTTAATTAAGGAATGATACTTTCTCTGGTTTGGTTTCTGAGTTTGTGTCTCTGTGCAGGGATCTCTTTAGAAATTGCTGTACTAGAACTAAAGTCATTGTTGTCTGGGAAATACAGTAAAGTGCAGGGATCAAGGGGTTCAGCTCCTTATGGGAGAGCTGATGTTTGATGAAGCTTTGTGTACAAGGTTCAGTGTGAACATGTAAAAATGGAAGGAAGTTATCAGTGGTCAGGGTTTTCATGTAGTGGTAAAGGGAGGTAGGTTCTAAATTTGAATTGACCACATGTGAAGTTAAGGAAAAAAATGGACAGTTTCTGTATGCATTGAGAGGTCTATTAAATGAACCATTTCATGAGTGTTTTTTCACTAAGAATTCCTTTGTATAGCCATTAATACTCATGCAAGTTGTAACTGTAATTTTCCATGATGCTTATACATGTTAAATTGTAATTTATCATCCATAAAAACTTAGTTAACTTCTAATCTTATGTTGTGAATGTACTGACTATAAGAAAAGTCACAATTAGTTATTGTTTCTCACCTTTTCAAAGGCCAAATCCTCCTTCTCCTTCTTTTTCTTCATGTTTGCACATGCTTCTAGTAAGACTAATCATTTCAGAATTAAATGGTGGCTGACCCTCAAAGGTTATACCATTAGCAAACTAAAATTTTCATAAGTCTGATAAGGAAAAAATGAGGGAAATATAAAAATATTAGGAAAAGACATTAAAATAAATAAATATTTTATTTATGATTGCAAAGTTTATTTTTTAGCTTTCCTCCAGTTTGCTAGATTTGTGCTGTTTGTGAGGAAGCATCAATATAAACATTACATAAATACAGTGTGTGACTTTGTAGAAGCAATAGTCTAGTAGAGAGGCAGAATATGAAGTCAGCATTTAGAATACCCAATAGCAAGTTTAGGTCTCTGAATCTGAAGGACCTATGGGAATGCAGAGTGGGCCATCCTTCCAGATGGAGTCTAAGGTCAGGGAAGAGGACTGAGGAATGAGCTAGCCAGGCTCAGGGATAGGTAAAGCACCTCACAAAAGACAGGATTAGGAAAAAGAATATGAGATGCCTGTAGGAAGCAAACAAGTTCAGTTTGGGGAAAATACAGAGCAGGAGAAAGGATGTGTCTGTTCAGTGATGAGCACAGATTGTCCCTGAAATAAGATTTTCCATACATTGCAAAGGACTTTCCAGGACTTGGGAATTCAGCTCAAGACGATTCACTGAAAAGAATTAAAGACACTTGGGGTTTTAAGAAGCCCATCTGACCAGCAGTGAGATAGGAATAGAGCATTCAGGGGCTGATAATGGAAACTTGAAGTGTGGGAAACCAGACACCATTTCAATCTCTCCATGTGAGATGAGAGGTGACTGAAATCTGGGCCAGACTAGGAATCTGAGAATGGATTTGAGATATAGTTAAGGTAATGCAGAGAACACTGCTGTGACAGGGTGATGAGCTGGGTTTGTTGGATAAGGAAGTTGGAGAAAATTCATCCTGTTTGGCCTGGACACAGGGAGAATGAGCCTTATTCCCATGGCAAGGGATTTCAGGAGCTGTTGCAGGCTTTGTGGAAAATTAACATATTTGGCCTTGACCTTCAACTGGATCTGTTCCGCATGGATTTTGTTATTCATGGGAGAACCGTTTGAGTTTTTGGGACATGCCAGCTTGTAGATTATCATTTAAATAACTGAAAAGGGTAAAAGTGAGTCATGTTTGTGTAAGGTAGTGATGTCTACTGATGATGTTAGACAGGATAAGGCTTGGGGGCTCCTGTTCTGAAATGCTAAGCTGCATATACATAGTAATTTCACAGGCTAGGATCATAATGAAGACCGGGGATAAGAGAGGTACAAGCCCTGTGCTTAATTTGATAGTTTTGAACATGTAAGTGTCTGCTTTTTGTTCCTCCATATATAGAAAAGGTAAGTTCTTCTTAAATGTCAGGATCCATTATTTATCTCTGTGTTTCATTCCTGAATCCTTGGATGATTGTGTGGAAAAAAATTCAATATTTTATGTGAACTGACTATACAATTATGTAAAAGATTGTTTTTAAAAAGATGAATTAAAAGTAAAACTGGTTTCTTTGGTGGTTTTGGAATGCATGCTGTTGCATAGTTCTTTTTACACTAATTTCTAATTTTTAAAATAATGAATGTACATTTTTAATATTCCTATATTATAGGAAATTATATTGTAAACTTGACTGTAGTTATTAATGAATTTATGAACATCATTACATGTAATTTTGTTCATGACTGTAATCTAGATTATGACAAATGCTGAAGTATAGCTTTCATTTTTTGTTTTTTTGTTTTGCTTTGCTTTTATGAGACAGGGTCTCATCTAACCTTGGGTAGCCTAGGTTCATTATGTAGCCTGGGATGAGCTTGAGCTCATGATTATTCTGTCTCCACCTTCTAAATGCTAGAACTACGGGGTAACATGCCAACATACCCATCTTCTGCACTGACTAGTCCATTCTTTAGAAGTTTCATATTTGTCAGCTCAGTTAATGCCTGCACATTTTTATGGGGTTCTTTATGCCCTTCTTATGTAGTTGCTCCTTAAATATTGCATCATGAATGAAAAGAGATCTTAAGTAGTGATGGGCACACAGATTAATAAACAAGAAGCTGCCTCTGCTTATTTGCTTTGAAGATTTTAATTAACACACAGACCTCTGGAATTACATTAAAGATAAGATACCAGAAGGGTAGAGTTAGTTATCAGGAATCAAAAAAAATGGTGATATGGGTAGAATATATAAATATACATGCATGTAATATATATACATATATATATATATATATACATATATATATGTATATATATATGTATATATATCACTATGCACCTTTTCTATTCAAAACTATCTTGGCAAGTTGAATTAGGAAAAGGGTAGTAATTAAAGATATAATTTATTAATGCTTATGCTAATTTGGTGAGGAAACATTAGATGTTTCCTGAGAGTTATGAGAAGTTTTGAACTTGGATTCTTTTCAAGTTTACCTATAGAAAATTGTAACAAGAAACAAAAGAACTAGATGTGATGGCTACCTCATGGACCCGAGGCAAGGGGATTATATTGTTTCAGGCCAGTGTGGGTTACACAGTGAGTTCCAGGTTATCCAGTGAACCCCTGTCAACAAGAAACACCCTTATCTAAAACAACAAAATAATACAGAGTCTAAAATGCAAACAGCAGAAACGGAGCCAGGTCTGTTTCACACCTGTCATTTGTCCAGCTCATCTGTGGTGCATGCTCATTACTTTGACCAGTTATGAGTCTCTGTGGGTACCAAGCCTTCTGTGTAAAGAAGCATCTCTGACAAAGACTGTAGCAGCACAAACCCATGGACATATGCATCCTTATCTAGAAGGAAATTTAACAGGCACATCATATCCACTTAGCAAAATGAGAGAACAGCAATAGCTCTCTCATTATGATCTGCTACCTCTCTAGTCTTGGGGTTTTTTGAGAAGGTTGACAGTACCAGACATGGATTCTCTGCTATGGAGTGAACCTTGAGTCCAATCGGGATGTGGTTGGTTATCCAATTACTGGCTTGTCATCACTGCAGCAGTGAGCACATCTTACCTGCTTGGTCATCAACAAGACTGACGATGACTTTTCTAACCCCACAGCATAGCACCCTTCAACACTGTGGAGACGAGCCAGCAGGGGGGAAGGTTTTGGTTCAGTTCTGCCATGGCATCCCTTACCTCCTTATCATTTGAGCAGACAAGAGAACAATTTCCTGTTTCTCCCTGCTTATTTCCTGTTCCTACTGAGCTACCTCACTTCCTGTCTGTCTGTACAGATCTCCAGACCTCTATGGTTAGCCAGTGACAAGCTCCATTCTCTGACTCTCAGACAGCTTTTTATTTGTACAAGCCAAGACATCACTCACACAGTTCTAGTTTAATTTCCATGTGCTCTGTGAACAGAGTATGTAATGTCAAGCCTTGGTGGGGACTCAGAGTCAGCAGCTATTGCCTGTATTGATTTTGGGGTTCCTGGGCAATCACTGACCAGTATTTTGCAGAGAGTGTCTCATTCCTCAGATCAAAATCTTCAGGGATTTTCTTTTGTCAACCCCTGGCTTCTAGGAGCAGTGTTACCCACATGTGCTGGTTTAAGAACTTCCCGGTTTTATCGGTCTTTGAAGATCTCTTCCTGTGACACCACGTGGTTGTGGCTCTTCTAGGTGGCAACACTTTGTTCTTCCTCCTTACAGACCCAGTTATACATGCATTTGACCAACTACTCAGTGAACAAACATAATGAGCGGTTTGAACGCAATGAGACCGAAGACAAAGGCAGCAAACGTTCAATCAAGTGGTTTACAGAATTCTTACAAGCCAATCAGCATGATGTTTCCAAGTTCTGGAATGATATTTCAGTAAGGTTATTCTATCCTGTAACTGTAACTGTCTTTAATTAGCATGGGATTTAAATACTTTAATTTTTTTCCTTTTCTCTTTTTTTTTTTCTTTTTGCATAGTAGATGAGGTTGAGCAGATGAGTATTTTGTTGTGGTTGTTTAAGAATGTTGACTTTGTGACAGGCCGTACCAAGTAAGAGCCTCATTTCTAGGGATAGGTATTCTATATAGGGACAAGAACATAGTCAAGGGCACAAAGGTTTGAGATTGGGAGAGATGCACAGGGTATCACAGAAGGTCTGTGGGGGTTTGCATGAGGTTCTTGCTGAATTGATGTGTGGACCAACTTTTGCATCTGAAGAAGATTTGAGATCATTCACTTTTTTGGAAGCTTTTTTGGTGTGTGTGTGTGTGTGTGTGTGTGTGCATACAAATATATGCCACAACATGTGTGTGTGTGTGATCAGAGGACATTTGTGAGAGTTGCTTTTCCCTTTGTAGAGAAGTGTGAGGATCAAATTAGGGTCATCAGGTTTGGTGGCAAGCACTGTCACCTGTTGATCCGTCTTGGAAACCTCATTCAGTTTTTAAAAGGAAAATGCTTTGATTAATATGATCAAATGTCTGCATCTAAAAGACAGATCAAAGCAGGAGTAGACTGGATTAAAGCCAACAGTAAGGATAGGCAGAGAAGACACTTGGGAAGGTCCTGTAAGTAGTTGAGGTGAATCGATGACTTAAGGTGAATCACAGCAAAAGAGGGACAAGGAGGTAGACACTGGGGCTAACTGTCCATAATGCAGAAGACGATCAAGGATTTTTCTGTTTTCAGGAAGAGTAGAAGGGAGAAGAGATGTTATATATAAAATAGAATAGAAAGAAATTTAAGTATGGAATTAGTTTGAAGATGAAGGAAAGGAGTTTTGTTTGTTTACACACACACACACACACACCCATCCACCCACACACTTACCCACCTACCCACCTATATACTCCAAGCCCTTAGATTACTGACTCAGTGGAACCAAGAAAATATCATGCACTTTCTGACACTCTGTTTCCCCCACTTTTTTATAAACACATTAACTTACATATCAGTTTGAGTCTTTGAAGGAGTTCTTGTGAAAATATAATCTCCTGGGCTTTCTTAGTGAGGGATGCAAGAGTGAAGGACCAGCCAGAGAACAGTGGTCACAATCTCCTACTCAGACACTGTTTTTAGACAGTACTTTCCCTGCCCAATTGAGTTAGGAGAAACTCCTCAAACAAGAAGAAGGGAGATTATTGAAATGAGCTTTTTATGTTAGATCCTGAAGTATACTTTTTAGATGTGAGCCTGAAATACTAATGCAAGCCCTTTAGTCTCTGACAAGTTTCATGATCTTGTCTACAAATACGATACTTAAGTCTGTTAGCTAGAATGCATATAGTGATTACAAGTAACCTGTTAAACGAGAGTATTTTTAAATGTTCCAAATACGTTATCACACACATTAAAGTGTCTGTATGTATACAGTTATTTGAACTGATCTATGTTCCTCGGCGGCAGCAATGAGGTTAACACCCCTTCCCCTGTTTCTCTTCCATGTAATATTGCTTCCATCCAGTGGTAGACTATTTGACCTGAGTCATTAGGTTGACTCCTGAGAAATGACAGACCACCAACAGAACAGTATAAGTAGCTAACACTTAGTGAAGGTTCACTCTATTCTAGGCATTGTGCTGGAATTTGTGTCTGGGCTCGCAGCCTGTCCCTTGGTGGTTTACATTCAGGAAAAACAAGACGCAGAGTTAAAGCACCATGCTTTCCCTGCCTAGAAAAGAAGCAGAAGAGTCAGGCATAAACCCAGAGATGACCAGGAGGCAAGGCCCTAACGTCTTTCCAGTTTCCTATTTTCAGACAGTAGGAGTTAGGAAGCCGATGTAATCCCAGGCCAGTAAAGTGGCTAGCTTCCCATATCCCACTGTGTCTTCCTGTAAACATTCGGTAGAGACCTCCATGCAGTTGACTTCTTATTTTATATGTGTGGATATTTTGCCTGCATTATATATATATATATATATATATATATATATATATATATATATATAGAGAGAGAGAGAGAGAGAGAGAGAGTGTCTGGTGTCTGTGGAGGTCAGGAGAGGGAACTGAAGATAGATGGTTGTGAGCTGCACTGTGGGTGCTGGAAACTGAACTCGGTTCCTCTGCAAGAAGTTCTCTTAACCACTGAGGCAGCTCTCCAGCCATGATATCCAGGATCTATTCCCTTCTCAGAGAAACCATTACAGAGTGCAAGCCAGCAGCATGAATAAAGGCAGTACCCGTGAGCTCTTTCTTCCTAGCCCCTTCAATAACTGTCAACGTGGAGGTCCCGTAATGCTGTTTGGGAAATGCTGTGTCCTTTGTAGAAGTTTTCCTCTCTATCACTCTTTTTTCCTTCTATAAAGGGCTATCCTATATTCCTTCTTATCTTACTATTTGTTTACAAATGTTTTTAAGCGTCTCTAATGCCAGGCATTGTGTGGGTGCTAGGATGGTACATAAATAAATAAATAAAAAGGAAGTATAAGGGCCTTGTTCAAACAGAGAAGTGTCCATTGGTTGCATGTGTGGATAATGGGAAGCATTTTCAAGTGTGGCTGCTTTTCAAGCACGATTGTGGAAGCCCTGTCTGAATATTAGTGACCAGGCATGAGAATCTAAGGGGGCGGTGCTCCAGGAAGATGGGAGCCTCAGGTAGAAAGAAGCAGAGAAATTCAAAGAGAGTGTGGCCAGAACGATGGGTGGGCAAAGGGCAAAGGGCAGAGCTGGAGGGCGTGAGGTAGAGCAGCTGGAGCAGCCAAGAGCAGCAGTGAATCCACCCCGGCTGCTAGTTTGTCCCCAGGCCATTTTCGTATGAAACGACATCCGAGTAAAGGCGTTTTCATTTCTTTCATCACAACCTCGATAGGAACTGGTGGTAAAGACTCTAATTGTAGCAGAACCTCATGTCCTGCATGCGTATCGGATGTGCAGACCCGGCCAGCCCCCAGGAAGCGAAAGCGTCTGTTTTGAAGTCCTGGGGTTCGACATCTTATTGGATAGAAAGCTAAAGCCATGGCTTCTGGAGGTAAGGCATTCTCTAAGAAGTAGAGCAAGCCAGCACTGTTCTTAGGTATTTAAAGACGGAGTTCCAAATGTGCATCTGGCACAGGTGTCACCAACTCACTGGCTGGAATGAGGCCTGAGTGGAGTATGTGGGAGGAAGTGAATGAAAATTCGGGGACTAGAACACTTCCAAAGATGAATCAATATGATTTCATATGGCTTCCTCTCATTAGCATGCAGTGAACTGCAGGGCCTCTGTGCTGTGGCTGGTTACATGAGTGTTCCTCAGCCTGGTGGCATCTGCCTACCACTTCATGAGCTCTGGACATTACATCTCCCCTGGGTGGGCACCGCCTCTGCACCCCATCTTTATTGTGTCTTTTAAGCACTCCACAGGGAGGAGGGGCTCCAATTGGTTCACTATCCAGTACCCAGTCCTCAACATTGCAATAGACATAAGTCCTCCCGTATGGCCATTGGGTATTCCTGAAAACAGAATGTCTTTGGATTTGCTGCCTGTCCCCTCTAGCTATTATTTTTCTTATAAAATGCCACCTAACATATAGAACAATATAAATAGTATCAAAATACCCTCTTCTCAAGATACTGTTGTAGTGTGCAGCTACGTTTATATTTGTGTAACTCACACAGCACCTTACAAGCCTTTCCCAGCTGTCTTCCATCCAGATGTTTTCTCTAGGACCCTGAACTGGGGGAGGGGGTCACAGAAAGAATCTACATTCTCATATATTCATTTGAACTGTGTCTCCAGCATGAGTAATATATAGTTGAACATACTGCCACCGAAGCTGCGATCAACCACCACCTTTTGTCCCAGAGGATGTCCCTCTTGTAGGTCAGTTACTGAGAAGTCAGAAGTTACATCAGAGTCTGCAGGATTTTTGCAAGCAAATCTGGACTGAACGTGTGCTAAGTGAGACCTTGGTTCAAAATATTTTGAAGGAAAGCACACCTTTCTAATTTGAGTGAGGGAAAGAGAAGTGCATTCATATATTCTGGGGAAATAACATGCATTCCTGGAGAATCCATTTTTTTATGATAGCTAGAATTTTAGTCCACCTTTGGTCCTAGAAACAAGACTTGGCAAAATCATGTTTTCTTTGCTTCTGCCATCCTTGGGTGGAAAAGTACTTGACTGCATACCATGGACCCTCTGTCTTAGCAAGGCCTGGAATCTTGGAGCCTGCACAGTTGGACCTTGATAGTTGTTTCCTCTTGCTGCTGTGTTTTCCTCTGCTCCTGGCCTAGCCATTTACCCCTGATGTGTGGAGAAGTGAAGGCATGCTTGTGTTTCACAAGGATGAACTAAACAGATTGCTGAGAACAAGAACCTTATATAAAATCCAAATTAACCATCACAGAAAGTGTTTGTTCATAGGAGCTTTCCATCAGGTTGCTAAATTAGAACTGACTTAATGGTTGGATTCTGTATGTTTTCTTTAAAAGGCTCACAATAAGCACATTTCTTCATTCTTTATCTTTCTTCATTGTTTCTGCCTTACTCAGTGCAGAATCATTTAAAAAAAAAAAAAACACTCCATGGCATTGCTATCTGTGAACAGTGAACAGTTTGCATGTTCAGATTGCTAAATGTCCTATTTTGAGAGCCTGTTCTGCATTTTGCTGCCAACTGATGATGCTGCCAGGCTCACGCTCACTGTTAAAAGCCTTGTGGCGCCACCACGTGGAATAAAGAGGAGGTGCCTTTGAGGATGAGAATTTCTAGCTACTTGGAATCCCAGCAATGTTTGGCAGTGGTAAATTTAAAGGAATTTCTAAGCTCTCAGGGTAGAAAATTGAGCCCAGCCAGTGCCTGTCGTTAAGACTGTCCCCCAGGTGGTTGAACCAGTGATGTCCAAAATGAGAGTTAATGAATCACTGTTGAGACAGGCAGAGAGAACAGAATTGATATTTTAGGAAGCAGTAGAACCCATCAGGAAGATCTTAGGTGGTGAAAGGAGGAAGCTGGTGGTTCCTACATGCTAAGCATACATATATGTGTGACTATTATTATGTCAGAGATATACCTGCTATTGGTCTTCCCAACTCTCAAGATAACTTTTCTAAGACTTGGTGGTATATGCCAATAGGCAGGGGTGCCAGGTAATACTGACAGAAAATACTAAGCCTGTAGAGCAACGGTTCTCAATCTTCCTAAATCTGCTACCCTTTAATATAGTTCCTCATGCTGTGTGATCTCCAACCATAAAATCATTTCATTACTATTTCATAACTGTAACTTTGCTACTGTTAAGACTCAGCATAAATATCTGTGTTTTCTGTTGGTCTTGGTAGACTCCTGTGAAAGGGTCATTTGACCCCCCCTAAGGGGTCATGACCCACAGGTTGAGAAACTGGGCTGTAGGAGTTGGGGCTTGCAGATGTCTTCCTGCAGTCCTTTGCCATGGGGCAATAGAAAAACAGGTGTGGCTGTGAAGACTGGAGTATCTTCCATGCAAAGCTGTGACACAGATGACTGGAAACAGCCAGTTAGCAAACATGACTGGATTACGTATTTACCTCCCAACATTCAACCAAACTTGTGTTTTCTCTGTAAATTTCAGATTAATCGAGCCCCAAGCTTTGGAACTGATCAGAAAATAGATTATGATGTCAAAAGGGGAGTTCTGCTAAATGCATTGAAGCTGCTCAACATCAGGTGAGCATCTCCCACCCTCGGGTCCCCCAAATATCAGGTGAACCTTTCTCCCACCCTCTGCCACCCCCCCTTGTCACTGATAAACTATTCACGCTTGAAACTGGCTTTGAACTGTGAATCTTTATATTTTTGTGTTTTACGTTTAGGCCTTCTTAATTCCATTCTGCAAACCCACGTTGCTTGAAACAAACACCTTTCCATTTCCCTTTCTCAATGCACTGTTTGTCCACACAGCACCAGGCACCTGTGGTAATTGCTGTTCAATCACAGAGGTTACCCTGGAGTACAAGATTAGGCTAGTTGGTGTGGTAGGAGACCTTCTTGCTTACCATCCTCTCGTTGAGGGGAAGTTAAGCACCCAGAAAATCTTAAACATGGATATCTTCCTGCCTTAATAGTCGTCCTTCTCTGTCTTGCTTCTTTGTGAATAGAAAAGATGTCATTGCCCAGTGAGGTGACAGACAAAGTGCGAAGACAGATGCAGGAGGAGATATGGTTGGGTAGGCGAGCTGCCTGAAGTGAGCATGCCATGGATTCTGGTATTTGAGATGCTATCATGTATGAACGGCTTCTGTGTCCTTATGAGAGGAACTTAAAGGGGAGGCAGGAGGACTGTGAATTTGGAGCTAGCTTGGGGCACATACAACAACCCTGTTTCATCAAGAAAGAAAAGAGAAAAAGACATTTAACATAGCTGCTCTATGATGCATGTCCGGCCTTGATTAGAGGGCCCTGAAGGTCAACCTGGGGTTTTATGCCCAGTTTATCCTTATCATCACTCAAGAAGTCTCAGAGAGTTATGGGATACTTCAAGGAATTTTCTTATTTAAAATATTTTCAAGCATTTAGCAGTTGTCACCAAGCTCTTGCTTTACATGGGAAATATCATGAAAAAAGGACATGGACACTGAAGTCTGATTGGGCATTTCCACATGGCTTCTGTGGCTTGGTGAGGTCTGATTGGGCATCTCTGCGTGGCTTCTGTGGCTTGGAGAAAGGCACACGTGTCTGCAAGTTTCAGTTTTTTAGTAGTTGTTTAGTCTACCCACTGTGTGATTTTAGATCATATCAGCTACATTTTTATATGGTTTTCTATTATAACAGAGCCTTATGTTTAACTTAGGAATATCCTTGGTGTACCTTTACATTAACATGTTGATAATGATTCGCAAATTGTCTGTGGATATTTTTAGTTATTTCAAAGTGAGGTATATCTATAATTTAAGAAGCAAGAAATTTTTAAAGGTGAGAGCATGGGGCTCCTTCCTTATCTGTCTTCATGTTCTCCACAGGACAGAACACAGTGCATGTGTGTGTTGCACACCTGTCTTCTTGCTTCAGCCATGGCGGGTCCACAGCACGTGTTTGGATCTGTCTGCACATACCATAGTGACTTAAGTGAGGAATAGGGAAGTCTTTACCTTATATTCAGTATTATGGTCTTTGCCTTGATATGGGTAGAATTGCTCTGTGATTTCAGAATGCTGTTTTTCCCTTCAACTACCAGAAGAAACTTTTTCTTATTCGTTATTTGTCTTTCTTCTTAGGAACCCAAACAGGGTTTTATTGCTAAATACCAAGGAGAAGCTTCTCTCAACACAATTATATCCTAATAATTCTGTGTTTTCTCCAAGCTGTGCTAGCTGGCTGATCATCCCATTATTTTCCCCATGTCTCCTGCCCTTCCTGACTGCTGGTTTGTTTTGTTCCCTAAATGAAAGTGAATGCTCCCTTGCTTTCTGTAACTTACATACCATATTTTATTATAAAACTCTACATTTGGACCTGAGTTAATCTTTCCATTCTTTAATATTTTGGTGACATTAGCGTGCATTTACTACATGACTCATTATTTTGCTTCTTTTTTTTTTTCTCTGTGATGTTTTTCTGGTTGTGGCTGACTTCCTAATTTGATGGAAGCTCCTTGAGGTTAGAGTTCTTCACAGGTCTTACTACAACAGTCTACCTATGGCATTCCTCTGTTCATGCTTCCGAGTCCACTTTAAACCTTCTTCTATATCGTAGGGAAATTCAGAAGAGCCTGTAGGTCAGGAAGATCCATCCAAAAGGCTGTGAGTATAGAAACTCATGCGGAGGGGACAGAATTGCTCTGTGTGCCCTTAGCAGCATATAGTTTGACTCCAGATGATATTTTGAAGCAGGAGGCTTGAGATCGTCAGAGAAAACTTATATGTGACCTTCTTGGGCCCCAAGTGTGGAACAAATGGTAATCCTTCCACCTGTAGTCAGAGAAGACCTGCTGTGTTGTGCCGAGGTTCTTGAGCAGATTTTCATCCTCTGTGAGTCTCTTCTACTACAGCCATAAAAGTCAGAGTCCAAAGAAGACACCCATAGTCCCATGAGCCTGCAGTCTGAAATATTTGTGAGTTAGATTAGTTAAAATGAAATACTCATTTCATACCTAGGACTAATTCATGGGCTACAGGCCTGAGCATGTAATATCCTTCTGCCCTGAACACTGGTCCTCTGTACCTCTCTGACTCTGGTTGGGGGTCACTGAGCTTGGATCTTCATGGTCCCTTCTTTTTACCTCCTGTTCACTGCTGGCCATTTCCCCCATTGTGCTCTTGGCTCCTTTCTCTCTGTTAATCTCACTCACCCATTCTTGTGTGGATGGCACTGGAGTCCATGAATTGTGTATGTATGAAGATAGGTACGGATTGAGGTACATTTGGCTGACTTTGGCCCCCACTGGAGCTCAGGGCCTCCGTTTGACATTATCTGCTGAGGTCGAATGCTGCAGGACTTTGGCCTAGTATGTAAACATGTATTAAATAGCAAGGACATTAATGAATCAACAAGTGAATGAATGGATGGATCACACATTTAAATCCAATACGACCAGAGCTGAGTATTTTCTCCTTCAGTTGTGATCTTGAGTTACTCATTTCTCCCCCTACCGCCTATGAGAATAATGTGCACCTTCAGCTCACACACGTTAAATATAAGCATATATATTTACTGGGCATTTTAAAAAGCCTATTTTATCTGGAGTTGATAAAATGCTTTTTATGTGATATATGCTATTATAACATGTAGGTAGAATTCTCTTACGTATCTTGAGGTGCCATGCATTCAATGTTACCAAGGCACTGAGGAATGGAGGAGTATAAGTCATGGCTGCTGTCTGTCTAAGCACTTCTCCAAGTGCAGGATCTAAGTTGCCCTGGGCACGGGCCCAAGTGAAGAATCAGCACTTTCAGTAAAAACAGGTCCAAATCCTCGGTAGTGATTGGGGTAGAAACATATTATTTCCCCTTTTATTACTGGCAGTTCTCATTCAGTGTAGCCTGTAAGTTCCCCCACAATGCATCTTGTGTCTGAATTTCCTTCCTGTCTAAGGGTGACTTAGGCTCTGCTGCTTGCTGTATTAGACTGTTTTCTGAAGCTGTAGCCAAGCACCTACGACTGAGGAATTTATGGAGAAAAGAAGTACATCTTTCTCATAGTTCAGGAAGCCCAAGAATACGGTGCTTGCATTGTCTTGGCTTCTTGGGAGGGCTCATGCTGCATCCCATGATGGGAAACAAGAAGGAAGGTGAGTGTATACTGAAGCGCCTGTGTGAGAGGCGAGGTAGCAGGGAGGCTGGTGTACTTTACAAATGGCCAGCGTTCACGGAGACTTAGTCAGCTCCCAAGTCTCAATTCAACTCAGACCCAATTTTGAATGGGGAGAACTAGCCTAGCTTTCCGAGAAACATTTTGATCCATTCTTGCATGTGGCACTTTTGGTATCCTAATCACCTCTCTCTGGATCGTTCTCTGCTGCTTGTAAGCCTCTGCACTCTGTGTGCATTGCCAAGGGCGTGGTTTTCACACAGGCAGATATGACCAGGCCCTTCCAGGACTCCTATCTCCTTCACACCGCTTAAATTTACACATGAAGCTTTCCAATGAGCAGTAAACCTTTGCCATCAACTGAGTTTCTTGCATTTTACTCAGAGCACCAACCCTACTGGATGACTTTTAGTTTTATCAGTGGTTTTTTTTTTTCTCAAATTATCCCTTTTATTTCAACCTTGACCCATTTGAGCCACTGCAGCCTCCATGTCAGGAGAGAAAATGAGTGTTTTCTAGAACGTCTGGATGCTGTGTGCTGTAAAGGTGGCAGACACTAAGAGAGCCTGGGCCTGACATTTTGAATGCAGTCTCTAATGAATTCAGTGGGGCCCTCTGTAGCTTAAGCGACCTTTTTCTTCTTCTAACTGGAACTGGAAGGGGTAGCATTTGATCTGCATCCCTGTATGACAACAGAGGACAGGAGGGGTAGGTGTAAGGTTAAGGACGAGGGCTCTGGTCTGTTCTGTTTTGTTCTTTCTCTATGGCTAAAGGCAGAATTTACTTGCTTTTTAACTTCTACCCGACTCTACACTGTTGCAACCTTGGTGGCAAAGAGAGACCTGAGACTTCTAATACTCCAACCGCATGGAAAGGAGGAGAGAGAAAAGGGGAGGTGCAGAGGCAAATGATTCCTCAGCATGGCTTTTTGTGTGGAAACTGGAAGGCTGATACTAAATGTTCACAGTGAAGGAAAAAAAAAAAAAAAAAAAAAGGTTAGAAGGACAGTGAAGCCAGTTTTCAAATGATGGCAATTACCAGAATTTCAGTATAGCTGAGAGGTAGCTTATGTTAAACAAATTGGTAAAAGGAAGAGAGGCACACTTGTTAATTACCTTGATTGAGGGTTATAATACATTGAGGAGGGAAAAAAAAGTTAGTGTTGCTTAAGTTTAAAAGATGGGAAGACAGATCCAGAATTTAATTCACCAAAGATTATAGATGTTGAGTTTCTAGGATGGAATATGAAATCAGGTCCCTTGGGCTCTTGAAGACATAAAGGATGTCTGTTTCTCCTGTTTCGGAAGCACTACCTCCCATAAAGAGTCCTCTTACTTGACGATTAGATGAATAGAAAGTATGTAAAGATATAAACTTAATAACCTCAGTTCTGTTTCTGCATGCTTCCTCTCCAGCAAGTTCTCAAAGGGACAGCGTCAGATTTTCTGCAGAGAAAGCTATGGTCTTGTTTTTCACATTTTAGGACCAGCGACAAAAGGAAAAACTTGGCCAAGCAAAAAGCCGAGGCTCAAAAGAGGCTGTATGGTCAGAACCCTATCAGACGAATTTCGCCGGGCTCCTCGGATTGGGAGCAGCAGAGGCATCAGCTGGAGAGGCGGAAAGAAGAGTTGGTACGGACCTGGGTGCCGGGATGAGGGGCGTGGGGGTATTGGTTTGTTTTTATTCTGTCTGGCGCCACGGTGCACAGTGAACCCGTGGCAGGCAGGCGCTCTGCCACCCTGCTACCCTCCAGCCTGATGTGAACATAGCCTGGTGTGAACATTTAGCTACACGTCCACAGTGTGAACTGCATGACTCATCCATCGCACTTTGTTTATAAAATCTGTTCCCTTTTAGAAAGAGAGACTAGTTCAAGTACGGAAGCAGGTTTCCAGAGAAGAGCACGAAAACCGGCATATGGGGAACTACAGGTAAATTTTGTCCTTGTTTGTTTGTAGTAGGATTTTTCTTTGGGCCACCAGCTCACAAATAATGACACAGAGACTTCCTATTAATTATAAAAGCTATAGCTTAGGCTTGCTCATACTAGCTCTTATAACTTAATTAACCCATTTATATTAACCTGTATCTTATCAAGTAGTGTTCTCATCCATCTTACACCTTCTGATTCCTCTGTCTCCAGGTGTCTCCTACAAGCCTAGATTCCACCTCCTCTTCCTGTCTCTCCGAGCAAATCCCACCTACACCTGCTGATGAGTTATTGGCTGTTCAGTTTTTTACTACACCAATCACAGCAATACACCTTCACAAATGTACAACTATCCCACATTTGTTTTAGAGACAGAAGAGGTGTCTAATCAATGGTTTTTCCTTACTTAGTAATTTCTTTGTTAGCTACAGCTTTCCATTCGTTTCAGGACATGAAAGGGAATCTGCAAGTAGGTAATTCTGAACCCCAGGGGAGCTCTTATCAGCAGGCTTCTGCTCTGCCCAGGGAGGTTTAAAACCAGCTGTGACTAACTTGGCCATCATGCAGTATTTTAAGAAAGTCAGCATTTCAAGTCTTCTTGCATTCTTTCCTGCAGTTTTTGGTGATTGCTACACTTCCTTATAAGCCTAATTGCTTTTCAACCAGGCAAAGTAAGGCAGCATTTGAAAGATTCTGGGTAGATATGGGAGACAAGGGTGTGGGGGATCTTCAAAGTACTCTCCTGGGAAGCAAAAGGGGGGACCCCTTAATGTTCTTGTAAAGATGGTCCCTCCTACCAGCCTCGTGTTGCCTCCTCAGAATTTAGCACAAGGTGGGGGAGAGGGATGGCTTTTCTTACCCTTCCTTAGGATGTTATTTCCTGGCATTAACATCTCCACAGTACCAAGAAGAGGGTAAAATATGTTTTCCACTCTGCTTCTACCTTGTTTTTATTTCCTAGTCTTAAGAGATTATTCAGATTAGTAACTATAATCTCACATAGTCAACACACCTGCATTATTCCAGGTCCTTAGGACACACCCTCAAAATTCAGTATTTCACCAACTGTCCAACCACCATTCTTCATGTACCCATGCTACACATTCTAGTGTTGTATTGTTCAGTGAAATGTCTCTATGTGAATGTTAACTGGTATACCAGATGGATATTTGTGATTCCCTCCTAATTATCATTGTCTGTTTCTAGAACCTGCTTGGCTCTGAGTAGGGAGGGCAGTGGTTTTCTAAACAGCTAGTCTTAACTATTGAATTGTGTTAGGTTCTTTTAAGGAAATGGGTTTGTCTGATTTTCTTCTTGTAGGAGAATTTATCCTCCTGAAGATAAAACACTGCTTGAAAAGTATGAAACTTTGCTGGCTGTTGCATTCCAGACCTTTCTTTCAGGAAGAGCAGCTTCATTCCAGCGAGAACTGAACAACCCTCTGAAAAAGATGAAGGTAAAAGAGTGTTCACATAGAGAAAAAGGCATGGTCTGTATTTTGAACAAAACCAAGCTTCCTTGAGATTATATTTTTCAGTTTGTAATGAGACTGTCCTTATACTCCATTATAAGACCATAGCCAGAGTCTTTGTGTTTTAAGAGCCATACTTCCTAGACTGAAATAGCTCTCTACTGTGAGATGTGATTCCTAGTTTCTCCAGTAAACTTTAAAGAGATTTTGAAGTACAAATCGCAACTATGTGAACATAGTTTTGTCAGTGTTGGGGCCTGGATTACACAATGAGATGTTTTATTATACCCCTCAGCAGCCCTGCTCTGGTTCACTCAACTTCCAATGGCAGTGTACAGTCTCATATCTTTTTCCTTAGACTTCAAAATAAATTTAGAGGAGCATACGAGGAAGCTATTGGGGTGCTTAGAGATTTTTTCCTACCAATAATACTCATAGAATGAAAATATTTTATAAGGCTGTAAAATACTCTTGCAAAAGCCAATATTTCTAAGCAGCTTCATTAAATGGTTCCCATTAACCAAATTCTAACATTCAATTCTTTCTAAATGAAACTCTCGGGCCAGTTTTCATTTCCTGTATCAAGTTTTAATACTAAATTATGCCAATCAGCATAGGATTGATTAATGAAGTCTTGGAGATGAGCATGGACCTTTACATATCTTAGTGTTCATTGAGCTAATCTAGTAAAGTTGGGTTTTCTGAGATTTTAGTAGTATGTCTGAAGGGACATGCTTGCTTATGATGAAGAGTTTGCCTTTTATGTTTCCTTCTTTGGTCCGACTAATTGTCCCTGTATAGTCTCCAGAATAATCACTGTACATGAACTTACAGAGGTTAATGAACTTGTAAAAAGTCTATATTTGTTTAGTGAACACAATTTTAATAATGTTTTGAAGGAGGAAGATATTTTGGATCTCCTGGAACAGTGTGAAATTGACGATGAAAAGTTGATGGGAAAAACTACCAGAATCCGAGGACCAAAGGTGAAATGTCCCTTCCTTCCATAGAGCCTAAGTCCATGTCACTAATTGCAAGTGATTCCTCGTAGGTGCTTCCTGTAAGAACTATGATGCATAGGGACTTCAGGAATTTTGTATCCAGTAAAGGTAAAACCAGGCAAATGATGTCATCTTGCACTCACAAGCTTTGTTTCAGTGGCTTCCTTCAGATTTTTGGTTCATTGCCAAATGCTAATGAATGCCAAGTAACTCATATAGGCTGAATTTAGGACTACCCCTGTTCTAAGTTCAACATCAGTCTTTTGTTATAGAACCGCATAAATAATTAACAAAGCAGTATATAGTATTATAGATAAGGCAGATTGTGATTCTAGGGATACATTAATAGGGAACCCTCTGTCTGTTTATCTAGTTCCTATAATGAGCATGTCCACATTGTAAGTTTAGTATGATTCTGCTCCGCCTTTTCTTTCCCTTCTCCCATCCCACTCATTTCCCTTGTCTTCCTAAACTCTTTTATTTTTACTCTCTTATTAAATATGTGTACATGGTTTTATGTATCTGTATAAAATCCAGGAATCACAACTGAGAGAAAATATACGGTATGGACCTGAAATTGTCTTAATTTACTTAGTATGGCTATGCCCGGTTGCATCCGTTTTTATATAAATGGCACGGATCTGGCTTCGTAATGGCTGAAAAGTTTCCTTGTGCATGGGAACCACATTTCCCTTGTGCGTTCTCTGCTGTTGACATTAGGTCAGCTCCATAGCACAGCCTTTGTGAATGGAGTGTAAATAAGCACCGATACGGGAATATGTGTGCTGTGTTGTCCTGGGAAGCTCCTCTTGCTGACACAGTGGCACTGACAGCATGTTCATGAAAATAGATTCAGCACTTAGGAATGGGAAAAGCTGTTGTGTAGGCAAAGAGAGGCAGCTGTTTGCTTTAGTCAGCATCTGTTTTGTGGTGACCTTGTTTCTGCAGTTTAGTATATGACAAATTCCTCAGCAGCAGGGAAGCAAGAAGTTGAAGTTGAGAAATCACAGACACGTTTATCAGTGCATCCCTTTTATTTACATTTCAGCATTGGCAAGCCATCTGTAAGTTCATAGACACTTACATTTGTTAGGCTCTTGTACTTTACTACCTGCTTACTAAAACAAAGAAGAAAAGAGCCCTCATCGATGTGTTGCTGGGTTGATTAAGACTCCCTCCTATCCAGGTTGCATCATGGCTACTCTGTGTGAACTTGCCCTGGCACCACCATGTAGACTTAAGTGTTCGAGCCCCCCTCCTCCACCTCCTTCCCATAAGTAATGCTATTTCAGAGCATTTGTGATGAGTCATTATTTATGTGACAGTGTGAGTACCTTAAAGGTGGGAAGTGGATTTTCTCTTTCATCTATAGCACCCGAGAGTGTCTAACATATCACACATTCCCAAAATCTATTTATTGGTCAGAATTGCTGCATGTATTCAAATGTTCTCATTAGCTAGTTAGAGAGTAGCTAGGTATTCCTCAACAAAGCAAGGTGTGTGTGGTGAGTATCAAAAGAGTGTAAATTGAAAGGGCTGACTGAAGACAGCTTTCTGGAGGCCTTTCCATCTGAAGTGGATTTACAGTATGAGCCCTGCTCATTTAGCTTAGGAGAGACATTCAAGGGGAAACCTTGGAGCTACAGTGCTGTATCTGGTGTGATGGCAGTGTAGGTGTTTGTGTCTTTAGGAGGAGGGAATGAAAATAATGCAAGTTGAGCCTGGCCTCAGATGTCAGACATTATTCTGAAAGCTGAAAATTCCTGAAACAAACGTATTTAAATTATCTAGAAAAGTGAATGCTCTTATGATTCATCACTCCATTTGAGGAAACATTTGAGAGCTTGTTTGGAGGTTCTAACAGGGAAGCGCAGCTACTCCTATACCCTTGACCGAAGACCTGTCTCCTCTATCTTGGTAAGGTCATCCTCTTTGACCAAGCATGCAGCTTCAGGAGGGACACACATGGCGTGGTGAGGATGGAAGGCAGCCAGATCAGCCAAATCAATCCTGGCAACCAATGGGGTGACAGATGTCATAGCCACATTGCCCTCACATCCCCGAGGAAACATTTGAATATCTCAAGCTTTGAATATCTAATAAATACCAACCATTTTTGCCAAAACCATCTTGAGACTACGTGGGGACACAACATCCATGGTGCAAAGGCTCTGGGGCATCACGTTTTCCTTCATTTCACTTACATAGACTTGCCACCCTAAGGAAAGTAGTATGGGTCCTGTGGAAGAACTTACATTGTGTGTTTCCCAGCTTTTGTCATCCAAGGTAAACAGGAGGAGTTAACAGTGTATTTGCTGAAATGAAATGGATTGGGTAATTCCTTAATTTGATTGTTAGCTCAGCAGCATTTCTAAGTAGATGAGGGCAGCATAATTACTATAGAAGTGTATGTACAGTTTTTATTTAAGATTCATGAGGGTGTCTAAAGAGACCCAAACTTCTAAAGAGAATTTCCACTTCAGAGGGAGAGTGCCTCATGGCAATCACCTATTACCAAGGTCTTCATTAGTTGAAGAATAATTTGAAATGCCCTTTATTAAATCAAATATATATTAGGACGAGTAGCAGTAGCATCTTACTTATTTGAAAATTTAAGGAATATTAGTCAGCTACACAAGTAAGTGCTACATAAAGCATTAGCAATGTTCTTAAGTTGGTACACATACATTTGTTTTATCTGTACATTTACGTGTTTTTATATCTGCCCTGTTTCATAATAAAACTATAAGTAAGATTAAGTAGCATGATTTGTGTCATAACACCATAGCACTTTCAAAACCCCATCCTTTGTCCTTCTTGATTTTCTTTCTTCCTCTTCACCCCCAGCCGCTTTTCACTGGGTGAGTCTTGATGCCTAATCTCCCTGTGTGCAGCGAACAGAAGCTGATTATGTTGACGGTCTCTATATTTTTTAGATCAAGCATTTGCCCTCACTTTGCTCTTCTTTGTTTACAGAAACTCTTTGTTCATTGCAGTCATATAGAAACAACATTGTCCTCACCAGGACTGTGCCATATAATTGAACTAGGATTATTCAAGGAAGCCTCACAGCTAGTGTGTGCTTTACTGGCTAAAAATATCAAACAGTGGAGAGGGACTTCCATATTCACCAATAAGCAGCGTGCATGTGGGGATTAAGAATAAAATGACTATCCAGGGGGTTCTAACCAGACGGCATGCGGCTCTGTTTCAGCCCCTGTGTTGCATGCCGGAATGTGCGGAGGTAATGAAGAAGCAGAAGTATTATTGTAGCAGCGAGAGCAGCTATGACAGCAGCAGCAGCAGCAACTCAGAGCTGGATGAGAGTGAAAAAGAGCTGTGTCAGAAGAGACGAGAGCAAGCTCCGTATAACCTTAAACACACCAGTCACTGCAAGCTAATTCAGCAATCCAGTAAGTCAATCTCTCCTACGTTGGTACATGAAGAACTATAGAATTGAAACTCCCCAACTCAATAAAAAGTCCTTGGGCCAAAAGAAGCGTTGTCATGTGTTAGGGGACCTGTATCCTACCCCCTGTCTTGCCCTGACCAGAGCCCGATCCATCCTTCAACCCCTCTCAAGTTCCGCAAGTTAGGAAATGGATTGAATTGAGGGCCTTCCTTCCATCCTCTATGGTTTACATGCTGAGTCGTGGCATGGGTTTTATAGATGTATGGCAAAGCTTTTGGGCAGGTGTTCTCTTTGAGGTCCACATCATCTCTGCTTCAGTTTCCACCTATTGCCTACTTTGCTTGGCACCTTCACCTAGTTTTGAACCTGTGCCTGTCTCTCTGGGCATTCGACCTGATGTGTCTGTGAGGATCACAGCTGTGAAGTAGTTGGAATTTTGCTCCCTCTGGCTTTCCTCTTGGGTAAGCAGTTAATCAGGACACACACTGCGGACACACCTACTTAGAAAAGCAATCTACTTCTCTTCTATCTCTCTCACTCTAGTTATCTTCACACAATCTCTTTTTTCCTTTCCTTCCTTCAATCCCAAATGTCCACAGTCCTAGCCTCTGATTTGCTACCCACCCACAATATCTCTGTTTTCCCAGAAGTCTTGCTGCTACCTTTGAACTGGAACCTGTCTTAACATCCATGTCACACAGCCATTTGCTTAGCACACGGTGTTCCAAGTTTCCACAAAAGCATCCAGCTCAGCGTTGTAGTAAATACTTCTGGAGCCTTTGCACATTTGATCTCCAGCGATATTTATTATATTTGGGCCCTGATAATGTGTTTTAAAACTGACCTTCTAAGCTTGTAGTAAAATGTCCAAGGAATGAAGAACTAATAAATGAAGAGACCAGAGGACCAACCCTTTGCTTTCTGTAAACATTCCATAGAGACACATGCCCCCACTGCTCTTGACATGGAAAGTTTGTGTGTTTGGAGGGGAAACAACGTTCTGTGTTCCACCTCATTGATAGATATTTCCAAGTACCAGCAATGGGTAGCTATTAATAATCCTTCCCTTCTTCTCCTTAAGGGTTCTGTAAATGTGTCTCTGGGTGAATATGACTCAGTTTTTATTCTGGAAGCTGACATTTTTATGTCCAAATTTTGCTGGATTTTAGATCCATTGCTGGTTAGCTAATGTGACTATTACTTAATAACATGAACTGATGAGGGCCAGGGAGAGATTGTTCTATGCTCTGGGACCAATAAGCTAAAGAACTGAGATCAGATAGTCGTATAATAAAGTTGGATATATAATTAAAACACATTTTGATGTAGGAATTTTTATTTTCAGCCTAACTCAATTTCATATTAATTTCCTTATTGTACATTTAGGCAAGGATTATAACAAGGGCTTCACTTTATTTTGTATTCTCTCCTTAATCTTACTTTAGGAGCCTCATAGGCTCAAATCCTCCATAAATTGATGAGCAAGGTCAACATCCAGATCATGAGTCACACTTTCTCTTGTAGACAATTGGCTTAGGGTATTGTTATAGCCTCATAAATAACATAAAAGATTGATTTATAGATGGAAGTCACAACTGTTTCCTAAGCTACCACTGGTGTATCAAACTGTTTTAGTCTTCTTGTCTGAATTTCCAGGTGTGTAGGTGAGAAGTCAGATTTCGAGCTGATTCCAGAAGATATTTCCCTTCTGACCCAGGAGCAGGGTTTACTTATTCAGTCCTTCCTTACCTTAGGCTGGGAAAGAGGGTAGAGCTACAGTGTAGCTTGGAGCAAATGGTTTTAGAATTATTATTTTTTGTAGATGTGACCTTTGTATTACTGTTGTATGTTAAATATGTGACCTGTGTAACTAATATTTGTTTTTCAAGGTACACTGACCAGTTTCGTGTTCCTATGTAGTGTGCTGTTAAAAAGTGCTGTGTGTCACAGGTGCAGAAGGAAGTTAATAGTTGAAACAAAAGGAATTTTTTTTTTGTTTTGCTTTGCTTTTAGATAGCATCTTCTAAAGCTTGAGTGAGTGTGTATTTGTATGCTGTTCAGAACATAAAGAAACAGTACTACATTTCCAAGATGCTCACAGTATCTTTTAGAAGTGCGTCCCTAAGTCTCCCATTTATAGCCATCACCTTTAAAAAGCTTTGAATTCTTTCCAGCAGCCGATGAAGAGACACATTTGGGTATGCAACCTGGCATCATGTGAGTTTTATTAAGTTATTTTAATTAATGAAGATTGACATATTCTCCAAGCAGGGAGCAAATCCAGGATAGAGGATCTGCAGGACAAATGAGCAGAAGAAAAGATAAAAATGCTGGCGGTGTTGAGCAGTTATCTTTTTCCAGGTCAGGAGCCACCGCTTCCCATGGCCATGTGCTTCTCTTTCATCCATGTTCCCAGAATGCACAGGGGCACATATTGGATGGTTTCCTTAGATACTTATTCTGATGGCAGTCCTGGTCTTTGACCTCACTTTCTTCTTCACTTAAATCTTTTGCTGTTGAAATTCTGTGTGTGTGTGTGTGTGTGTGTGTGTGTGTGTGTGTGTGTGTGTGTGTATGCATGTAAGAATGCCAATTGGCTGCAGCCCTTTTAATAGCCAATTATATTTAAATTACATTATTCTTTTGTTTTGAGATTGTCACCAGAGACCTTGGATTCTATCTATACCTTATCTCTTTACACTGGCCACTCTGTTTTCCTTCCCTCCTCTCCTGTGACCCTTGCTGTAAAATGTGAAAATTTCCCACCTACACAGTATTATCCCAAGGTTAATAGATAATTGTGGCCTTTTAATAAATGTGGAGGCTTTTAGCATTCAATGGTGAGGACTTCAGGTGGTGGCTGACCTTGGCCACCATCTTGCTATAATGCTTTGGAAAGATTCTTTTTCTGCTAAAATAGACAATAGAAATCCCTTCTCCTGGCCAGAGAGATGGCTAAGTGGGTGAAATGATTGCTGTGACAGTGTGAGGACTTGAGTTCAGGTTCCCAGAACCCAGATGACGCCAGGTGCATAGCATGTCTGTAATTCCGTGTTCCAATGGCAAGGTGGGGGCTTGAAGCCAGAAATATCCCTGTACTCTAGATGGGGAGTGGTGCCAGCTAGTCTGTGTCTATAGGCATGAATGATGAATGATGAGAAGACCTTATGCCACACAAGGCTATAGGCAAGGACTAAAAACTGAAGTTATCCTCTGAACTCCCTATGTGTGCCATGGCTTGTGTGTCCCTGCATTCACATACCTGAACACACACACACACACACACACCACCCGACACCTTCTGCAGAGGTTTCTGTAACACATGACATCAAGGTGCGGGACCTTGCAGGATGCTTGGCTCACAAGTGCTCAAGAGTGTCTCCTTCCTTGTTTCTCTAATGTCTCTCACTTTAGAATTTAATTCCTGTTTGCAGTATTTACCAGCACAACTGCTCTTCATATGCCAGAACTGTTTTGTACCAAGTGTACTGTTCAAACTGAAGGATTAATTCCAAAGTTTTCTTCTTGTGATGGTGTCTAGGCTTTGACACTTGTCTAGCCACCACCTGGTCTAGTATTAGTCTGTGGAGACCCAATAGGGAGACAAGTGTACTAACAGCACCACTTCTCCGTCACCGCTAGATTCCATGAGGCGTTCGGTCAGCTGCCCTCGATCCATCTCTGCTCATTTACCTTCCAGTGGGGATGCACGCCCCTTTTCTTCTCAACAAGTGATACCATTAGCACGACCAACTTCAGCAACTCGGTCACATTCCTTAAACCGTGTTTCCTCCTACATGAGACACCTGCCCAGCAGTAACGATGCCAGCTCTACCAACTCTCTGGTGGTAAGCTATCGATCAGTTGTGCCCTTTCAGGGTTGCAGAGAACGCCGTACTCAGTGTAGGTGGCAAAGGGATCAGCTGAGAGGATGAGTTGAAACCCTGGCCCCTTCTGTATTCCAACTCATGATATTTGGAAACTGCATTGCTCACGTATCCTACACTCCAGTTTAGGATGGACCCCTAAAAGGCAACCTTCATTGCATCTCGAGGATGGATAGAAAAAAAAAAAAACATCGTTTTATTTTTCATTGCAGGGGGATAATATTGTTGGCAATCATCTGAGCAAATGCATGGTTTTGCACATTTATTCTGTGGAACTTATCTCTTAAGAGTCTAAATTAATAGTTTAAAAACTGGTGAGTTCTACTCACAGAGCCTAGGTACAGTGCTGTTCAGAATGCTTTTTGTACATAAATTAATATGCCACATCCACCTTTCAGCATAAACTACAGAAACTTGCAATTGAGAAAATCTGTGGTTTTATTCTATTTTCCTGGAGCTAGACCAGAGATTTATTTAAAGTCTTTGTTTCATTAACTTTGGTGTTTCCTATGGCAAAACTCAGGAAGCATAAGTGAATTCATTCATTTCATAACAATGACTGATTTATTTTCCAAATCAAGAGTTTGTAGCAAATGGAAGAGACTAGAAAACCCTTTAAAAACACTCATGTTTAACATTTATATCTTGAGAAGTATAAAATACAACCAGGAGGAAATATAAAAGATACCCTTGGAAATAATAACCAATGTAATGCTAAGAGTTTGCAGATGTCCATTTTTAAAAATCAAAAGTGGATCATTTTTTACCTAGAAATATCATTTAAGTTATACTGGCACACTGAAATAAGACCGCCCCTACACATATCTGTATTCTTTCAAATTTAAGAATGAGTCTTTGCGGCAATTGAAAACAAAAGAACAGGAAGATGACCTCACAAGTCAGACCTTGTTTGTTCTCAAGGACATGAGGATCCGCTTTCCAGGAAAGTCAGACGCAGAGTCAGAGCTTCTGATAGATGATGTGAGTATCCAGTGCATATAAAAAGAGCATTAAAATGCATTTCCTGGGGCTGGGGAGATGGGATCTGTCTGTAAAGTGCTTGCTGGGCATGCATGAGGTCTTGAGTTGGATGCCCAGCACTTACATAAGAGCCTGCCATGGTGGCATGCACCTGTAATCTCAACACTGGGAAGCCAAGGCAGAGACAGGAGGATTCCTGGGATTTGGTGGCAGCTCATGCAGGATACCTGGTGAGCCCCTGGTCCCAGTGAAAGATTGTATGTCAAAAAGGTAATTCCTGCCTGAGAAAAGGCATCCAAGACTGACCTCTGCCATCTACGGGTGCGAGTGTACATGCAAAAGCTCACACACAGAGACACACACGTACACACACACACACACACCAGCATGTGTGGGTACTGTTCACATATGTGCATGGGCACATGCTTCCTATACATCTACACAGAAATGTATTTTCTGGCAGAATTGTCCTTAATTGCATAGGAAATGTAATTGATGTTCCTTTTAGCCCCCAGAAACTTTATATAAATGGAAGAATTTATTCCACTTATTAGGAAATGGGAAATGAGGAGAATTGGGGTGATGCCTGGACTATCTTTGTGTTAAAACAGCCAGGCTGAGTTGTTTTTACTGGTGCCACCCAGTGGAGACTTTGGAAACAGCAGAGGTCCGGAGGCTCAGCTCCTAGTTCAGAAAGAAGTCCAAGGTTACAGACAGATGGTTTGATGGAAGAACGTTTCTCCACTCACGTTTTCTCTTCTCCATCCAGCACACTTGCTAAATGGCTAGTCTTAGATCATTCATCAGCCAGAGAATGCTGTTTGGAGTGGGATGGCGTAGGTGATAATCTTTGTTTTTTTTTTTTTTAAATTTTTTCTTCCCAGAAGACAATGCGCCATCTAGTGGTTCATATGAAGAATAACAACCACAGCTTGCACCATTTCACGATTCACATCTATAGAAATAATAACAAAACAAGAGAATGTTTTCTTGCTGTAAAAGCCCATAAGGGCATCATATTTTTCATTATTAGATAATTATAAAGTATCCAAATGTGTTTGCATTTTGTGGTGACGTGGTTTTTCCCGAGGGAAAGTAGCATGTTGTTTGTTGCTATAACTACTTGTTATAGCAATAGAAACTTTAGATTGAGTATAAGGTGTATGCTAGTTGTGTTTTACAATTTTAACTTGCATTTGTTTATTTATTTCTGTTTAGTGTGTGTATGTGTGTGAGTAGACACTTGCCATGGCATACATGTGGGGGCCACAAGGCAACTTTGAGGGAATCAGTTGTCTCCTACCATCATGCACGTCCCAGGGACCGAGGTGTAGCGACAATGACCACCTTTGCCCTCTGCGCTGTGATGCCAGCTGGATAAGACCTCACTTCTTAGATATTGTTTATTTTACGGAAAGGCAGTAACTTTGCACAGGATATATCATTCTCTGTCTGTTTTTACGATCTGCTATTTCACTTTTAAAATTTATTCATTTTACTAGTATGAGAATGTGGCCTGCCTGTACATATGTGCACCACATGAAAGCCCACTGCTCAAAGGTCAAAGGTCAGGTCCCCTAGAACAGGAGTTACAGTTATGTATCACCAAGTGGGTGCTGGGAATTAAACCCAGGTCCTCTACAAGAGGAACAGGTTCCCTTAACCACTGGGTTATCACTGTAGACCCATTAAGGTTATTTTTTAGTTAGAAAATGAGAGTAGAACTAACATTTGTGACTAATGTGATTCTCCTATAAAGTATAATTGCTGGACTTACATAATTAATGAAACATAATTAATAATTAATATCAGACATTAGATTCTTTGCTGCACATCTACCGTGTTCCAGACTTGAATGTTTGCAACAACATATACTACTAGAATACATATTGAGAAATTCTATAGACATACAGGCAATGCAAAGAAAGGGTTGGTAGGATCTTAATTGAATATAGGCTGACTTTTAATGCATTATTTAATACTCTATCACTATGTGGGTAACAAAGCAAGATGGAAAAGTTCTATGGGTTGGGTTTCTGCCTAAAATATGTGTGTCTCCATACAGGTTTCTGACTTTTGTTCACCGAGTGACATTATTCGTAGTGAAGAGGAAGGAGTCTTTGGATTTAGAACCCTTGGCTTGCTTAAGTCTTTACTAGTATCTTTTTATGAAGGGTGGGATCTTTATTACGCATACTCTCATGGTACTTTCACTGCACAAATTAATAGGGTCTGTGCTGACACATTTACTGCCTTTGGTGAGCACTTTCGATTAAATTTGTTAACATCTTTCCCCCAACAGATCATGGATAACTGGAAGCATTATAAAACAAAAGTGGCTTCATATTGGCTCATAAAATTGGACTCTGGGAAACAACGAAAAGTGAGTGACACTCGAAAATCACTTTGTCCTTGGTGTATTTATTAAGCTAAAACATCTAGTCAAATCTGTAGCAATTTTACATGTGAGCATTTGTTTGCTCCTGCCTTCAACAATATTGTGTTAGACAAGGCTCTAGATCGTGAGGATAGAAGTGACTTGAGGACAAAACAGGTTATCTGTGCAGAAATATGCGAGTCAGAGTGTCACCGGTAACAGAGACCATGGGGTGGAAATGAGTGCCATGTGCGTATGGACCGCAGGAGCAGCTTTCTTAGTAACCTATGTACATGGTAATTAAATTGTCACACAGTTAATTCATTTTCATCAGAAAAGTAAGTGATGCACCAGTGGAGAGGGATGAGTTTGGATGGTGAGGCAGGGCTCGCTCAGATGACAATTTTATGGGTTGCAAGGAGAAGTTTGGGCTTTAGTTTTGCATGTGGGAAGCCACCGGAAAAGTTTGAGAAAAGGGTTTTAGTTTGGTTAGTATTAAAGGAATAAGACTGAGGCAGAGAGAATGTGGCAGGACTGGACAGAAAGTAGCTAGAAGGCTTCTGGGGTAACTGAGGCAGGAAAGAGGGAGTAGTTAGCTACGGTGGTAAGGGAATGGGTGGTGTCTGTTGGTTTGTTGTGTGAGTTTAAAGTTTCATCTTGTGTGTATATGTGTGTGCCTGAGTCTATATTTGTGCATCACCTGCATCCAGGACCCCAGAAGTGCTGTCGTATTCCCTGAAACTGAAGTTAAAGACCCTTGAGAACCCTCCTGTGGACGCTAGGAACTGAACCTAGGTCTTCTGCAAGAGCAAGTGCTTGGACCCATCTCTCCAGCTCCCTGTTTAGTTGTGTTTTGATCTTGGATGTGTTATGTTGATGTACTGACTAGATGTGTAAGAGATGATACAGATGCCATTAGTGATGTACACATGACTTTGAGAGCAGAAGTGAGGTTGAGCATGTAGACAAAAAATAATTACACATCTGTGAGCATATGGGACTGGACGGGACCACACAGAGTTTGTTAGAGATAGGAAGTCTTCTTGGATTGAAGTCACCTGCATGTAGGGTTTGGAGGACAGGGGAGGATTCTCTGAGGAGGACTGAGAAGAAACAGGTGGTACAATGTGAAAAAAAAAGAGATGAGCGACCCTGAAGCCATGGGAAACAGACTACTGGGCCATAGACGAACTTAACAGCAGACTAATAGGCCTTAGGCTGTGCAGGAAGTTGCTGTTAGGGGTTGAGCATCAAGCTGTGTGTTGTTTCTGGCAAACATGGAGGCTAGTGCTGACCACAAATTTCGAGAACTGGTAGGGACCAATACTTAAACGGAAGGGATTCAATTATTGAATCTTGAAGAGGGGGTTAAAAAAAAAAGCTTTAGCTAGTGCAGATGCTTTTCAAGAAATCTGGGAAAGAGGTCAAAAGGAAGTGGTAGGAAGGAGAGCGTTGTAGGCTAGAGAGGTTTTTTCTGTTGTTCTGTTTGATTTTGTTTTGAAGACTCTTCTCATCTGTGATGATGAATTGATGGTAGTAGTCTGGAAGAAGGACTGGCAGGGAGAGTAAACACAAAGCTACTGTAATCAGAGGGAAGATGAAGGAATGTGATGGAAAAGGTGAAAGGGGCAGGTGTTTTATTACAGTAACAAAAATAACTAATGCAATGACATTGAAACAACTGGTTATTTTACAAGAAAATAAAGGAAGCACATTTCTTATACACAAAATAAATTCCATGTGGGTTCCAGTTTGGTATATAACATAGGAAAACTTTAAGAAGAAAGGAAACGCAGAAAGGTGATCATAGTCATAGAGTGGGGAAAACAGCACCTTAAGAAAGGCCTGGCCAAGAGGGGTTAAAGGGAAAGCCTGAAAGATTTAACTATATGAAGAGATAAAAGCAGGTGTGGAGATTCTTCTCTATAACCCTAGCGTTCACGGAGCCAAGGCAGGGAGATCATCGGGAGTCCCAGCCCAGTCCGGGCAATACTGTGAAACCTTATCTCCGAAAAATCCAAACCAAACAAAAACGTAACATGGAAGAAGACATCTTAAATCAAATTAAAGAAAGAGTGAGGGTGTTGAGTGGGCAGGGGTGGTTCGAGGAAGATAGAAATTTAGTTCAGGAAAAATGAAAGATAACAGCAGCAATTCTTACTAATCAACCACCCAAAGACAAACATGGCAAAATGCATAAAAAGGCAACGTAACGACAATTTAATGGATCTTCAGACAGCCAGTTATCATGCAAATAGATCTTGGCATCACTAACGGTGAAGCAGTAGTGAGGGGTAACCATCATATCGGCCCAAGTAATAAAATGGATAATCCGCACCAATGGGACCAGCATGGCTAAGAGGGCCTTTGCTCCTCTGTCTGACCTGTATCAGTCTAAGCCTTCAGAAGGGGCGTTTACCCGACCTATTAGGTTATGGATGCTCACAGGCTCGTGACCCAGAGAAACCAATTCTTGCCTTGTGTCTGGTAGATTTTTCACCCTGAATAATAGGAAAGATTTCCATATACCAACATTTATAACAGTGCTGTTTAGAAAAGTCAGATTCCAGAAGCAGCTTGAGTGGCTCACTGTGGATTTATGGTTAAAAAGACCTGGTACGTCCATGGAATTCAGCCGCATTTGAGTTTTCTCGCATCATATTTGAGTGGAATACAGAATTCAAGCCTGTGATTTCAGGCGGCAGAACGGCAGGGGCGTTCCTTGTCATGTGGAAAGGGTGCAGCAAGAAGCAGACAGCTAGAAGGACTGAGCAGTCTAAGGGACCTCAGGCAGTGGAGCCAGGATGTATCCCTGGTGCACAAAAGGACCTTGCGGACACATCCCCCATAGAGGGATAACTGCCTTAACCTAGAGACAGGAGAGAAGCCCTAGTCCCCACTTCACATGACCTGTCAGATCTACATGACCCCAACTGGATGGCATTCCCCTACATATGGAATTGGGGGGATGGGAGGGGAGGGTGGTCAGGGTGCATGTGAAAGGGCAGAGAGGGTTAAGAGAGAGGGAGGAAGAGAGGGAGGGAGGGAGAGGGAACTGGGGTCGATATGTAAAATAAAAAGAAGCAGACTCAGTGCAGGGTCCCTGAAGGCTGATACCCTCTGCTGTCTGGAGACGTTTTGGTTAGGTGCAACCTCTGGGTCATGTTCGTGTTGGAATAGAGGGAGTCTTTGACCTTCATTTTTCATTTCAGTTTCACGTAAGCATCCTGAGTGGTGAACTCCACTAATAGCCAAGTGAGATAAAAATTCCAGAAATTCCAGGATGATTTTATTTTATTATTTGTGTGTGTGTGTGTGTGTGTGTGTGTGTGTGTGTGTGTGTGTGTGCATGAGCTCAGCTCCTAGGAGCTTTCTGAGACTGTGAATATCTGTAATGTCCAGTCACATGAGGTTCTTGAATACTTGAAATGTGGCTATGTGACCACAGGTTGAATTTGTGATCTAGTTTTAATTCCCTTAAGTAGAAGGCCACCCATGTTATTGAGTTCTGCATATAACAGGGTAGGTCTAGACAGACAAGGTACTCTTTTCTAAATGATATTAGATTAAAACAAGTCTTTGCTATTTTCCCACTTATGAGTTTAGAGATGCTGTGAGAGGATCTGGTGGAGTAGTCGATTTGATACTATCAAGTTATAAGTAGTCCACATTGTACCATTTTAGTCTACTAATGCGTGGGATTTTCTTTTATGTATTTTTATGTTTTTCAAGGTACAATGATGTTTTTACAAGTGGAGGGCTGACCAAGGCAGATAAACATGTCTGTGGGAGACAGGTTGGTTAAATATCAGGGATGTGTGTTGGCTCCCATGTCCTACGGGAGTAAGGAAAGGAGGGTGGAACTGGACTCTGAGCCCAGGCCTTGATGTCAGCTACTCGTGCAGGAGAGTCACAGTTCAAGTCCACCCTAAGCTTTGAAGTGAGTTCAAAGCCAACTTGGGTAATTTAGTAACAAACAAATACAAAATGTGCTGAGGAACGTAGCTCAGGTGCTTGCCTGGCAGGGGCACCAAGTCTTGGGTTCAATCCCTGGAAACACAAACAAGCAAGTGAAAGAAAACGAAACAGAATTAGAGATTAGAAAAAAAAAGAGGTGGATCAAGACTTCGAACCCCAGCATCTTCTGCCTGTCCCCATACACAGCTCTTCAGAACATTCCTGTCTATCTTCTTCATGTCCCCTAATGATCCCCCCACAGCCATAAATCATCTTTCCTTTCTTGACATTTCAGGGCATTTGTACTTGGTTCTATGCACTGTGAGAGAGTTGTGAATTTTTAAAAACCTTTAAGGCTCCGGTACTGTCTGCCACCTGCCCGTGGTCCTTCTCTTCTACCTGGAGGGACTGTGCATGGGAGAGGGAAACTTCTGCCAGTGCTGGATGGTGCTGGCAAGTGCCCAGGGCCTGGACTGACAGCTCCGATGATTTAGAGGCCAGGGCTGCATGGGCCTAGGTCCTCGGTTTGGAGACTTGTGCCTCTAGGCTATAACCATCTGTGTACTGGCACTTGGCTGCGTTTATAATCCTCAGTTTTGAACATCATTCCCTGTCCTGCCTCTCTGGCCCCAGCACCTCAAGTAGACATGGTTCCCTCTAATCCGTCTCAAAGTGTCTCACTGGTAGCCACCCTAGCAGAAGGTTTGCTATGCACATTTGCTAAACCAGTTCAATTCTAGACTCAGTTTTTGAGTTTTCTTGTCAGCAAGCTAGCAGCTGTCTGTATCCTATCTTTAGCAACTTGGTGTGTAGCTAACACAGCAGTGAACATGGTACTTCATGTTTTATGTGTGATAAAAGAATGCTTGGTAAATATGGAATGAGCATGTGATGTGGCTACTACTCCATATATTTAAGGGCCATTCTTTCGGGAATTTGAATTTTTCAAGTAAATGTAAACACTTGCTTCTGAATTTGCTAGCACGTGCATATGCCGTGACGTCAGCTCCCTTATGGCAATTTACTGTAAGAATGCTCTTCAGTTAAGG